GTGAGTGTTGTTATTGTTGCTAAAACCCAGGCATGTGGAAAACTATTCAAGATGCTCGAAGCCCTGGTGTACACTCAGCTTTGTGTAGTTTGAGGCCTGTGTGAGGGGTGTGCGGGGCAGAGGTAAAGAGTTAATAAAATAAAGTGGGAGCCCCACCAGGTGTGTCCTCCTCTCCTCAATCCATTTACATCAGGGTCTGATGCCCTTGGCATTTAAGAAAGCTCACGGCCTGGTGAATAGGGACCAGACCCCACTGGAGTCTGTGGTGGGAGACCAGCTGGTAGGTCCTTCTCTGGGTCAATGCTGGGACCTGGGTTTGGGGGCTGAGGCTGAGGAGTGAGGCTGTTTCCCACTGGCATCCCCTACTCGCAGTGGAGATGATGAGCCTCAGTGACCCCAGTCTCCCTGCTAGAAGCTTCTGGGGAGCTTTTAAAAACGCAAATTCCCTGGCCCCACTGCAGACCTAGGAAATGCAGAGCAAGGTGTGCAAGTTCTGCCTTAAGGACTGAAAGCCAGGTCTACACCCACAGGGCAGGAAGCGATGGCAACACAAGGTGGGAAGCGATGTGTGCCATTAGGGACCGGGCTTGGGGAGGGTACGGCCATTTTAGGCACGGAGGAGGGTCCAGCAAGTCTTCATGGAGAAAGTGTCTTACAAGGATGAACATAATTAATACTGGGACATATTTTGTCCTGTATTGTTTTTTAATTATTTCTAGGATATTAGTGTTGCTTCCTCCACTGGTCTGTGAGTTATTTGAGAGTGAAACCATGTCTTACTGAAATCAGTATTTTGCAGAGTCTAGCACAATTTATTAACAGATGCTTAAAAAACAATTACTGGTCAAAACAAATTCTATCCTGAATAAGCCAGTTCCATGTAATATTTAACCCTTTATATGTAAAGGATATGGATGCTGTGCCTCCTATGTGTGGGCTGGTTGAGAGGGGTTCAAATAATTAACTCAGTCTTTCAAAGTATGTTCTTTGTAAAATTTTAAAAAAAGATTTTATTTATTTATTTTTAGAGAGGGGAAGAGAGAAGGGGGGGAGAAATATCATTGTGTGGTTGCCTCTTGTGCATTGTCCACTGGGGACCCAACCCGCAACCCAGGCATGTGCCCTAGACTGAGAATTGAACCAGTGACCCTTGTTTTGCAAGTCAGCACTCAATCCATTGAGCCACACCAGCCAGAGCTCAAAGTATGTTCTTACGAGCATCTACTAAATGCTAGGGAGTATACCCCTGATTTTGGGAAGAAAGACAATGAAACAGGCAATTACTATCCAGTTTGATAAATGTCTTCACAGAGGAAGTGATATGTAAGTTGATAAGAGAATATGAAAGAGGACTTTCAATTTCAGCCATAAACAACTATGAAAACTAGATAAAATATATAAGACGTCTATTTTCAGGCACTGGAGAGCAACCAATGAAGAACTCAGTACTTGAGAAAAGATAAGCACAGGAGCTAAACCCACATTCACCCAGCTCTCTCTATGAGGGCACTTTCCTTACTGACCACAGAAAAATAGAGTTCAAACAGGGAGCAACAATCTATACCCAATAAAAACGAGTGTATAAGTATATCCTCAATAAAAATGTGTGTGTATGTCCAACAAAAAGACATGTATATGAATGTTAATTGCAACTTCCAGTCAAGATGGCAGCATAGTAGACACTCTTTGCCTCCTTGTGCAACCACAAAAAGGAATTACAACTAAATCTCAAAACAAATAACACCCAGAACTGTCAGAAAATTGAACTGTATGGAAGTCTGACAACCAAGGATCTAAAGAAGCCATATTCATCCAGGCAGGTGACTTTTACAGGGAAGGAGTCAAAGCAGCTCTACCTAACACACAGAGACAAACACAGAGGGGCTGCCAAATCGAGGAGACAAAGAAATGTAGCCCAAATGAAAGAACAGAACAAAACCCTAGAGAAAGGACTAAATAAAACAGAGATAGCCAACCTATCAGATGCAGAGTTCAAAACAGTGGTGGTCAGGATGCTCGAAGAACTCAATGAGTACGGCAACAATGTAAAGGAAGAAATGAAGGTTACACTAAGTGAAATAAATAAAAATTTACAGGGAACCAACAGTGAAGGGAAGGAAGCTGGGGTTCAAATCAACAATTTGGAACATGAGGAAGAAATAAACATTTAACTGGAACAGAAAGAAGAAAAAAGAATTCAAGAAAACAAGGAGAATATAAGAAGACTCTGGTACATCTCTGAATCACAGGGATGCCAGAAGGAGAAGAGGAAGAGCAAGAAATTGAAAACTTATTTGAAAAAATATTGAACAAAAACTTCCCTAATTTGGTGAAGGAAATAGACATACAAGTCCAGGAGGCACAGGGAGTCCCAAACAAGTTGGACCCAAAGAGTATCATACCAAGTCACATTATAATTAAAATGCCAAAGATTAAAAATAAAGAGAGAATCTTAACAGTAGCAAGAGAAAAGCAGGGTGTACAAAGTACAAAGGACTAAGACTATCAGCTAATTTCTTAAAAGAAACTTTGCAGGCAAGAAGGACTGTCAACAAGTATTCAAAGTGATGAAAAGCAAGGATCTACAACCTAGATTACTCTCTGCAGCAAAGCTATCATTTAGAATGGAAGGACAGATAAAGTGCTTCCCAGACAAGGTAAAGCTAGAGGAGTTTATCATCACCAAGCCATTATTACATGAAATGTTAAAGGGACTCATTTAAGAAAAAGAAGATCAAAACTATGAACATTAAAGTGGCAACAAATTCAAAACTATCAACAACTGAATCTAAAAAAATACCCCAAAAACCAAACACACACACACACACACACACATGCATGCACACACACAGACACACAAAACCAAACTAAGCAAATAGTCAGAACAGGAACTGAATCTTAGATATGATCATTTGGAGGGTTATCAGCTGGGAAGGGGAAGGGGGAGAATGGTGGAAAAGGTGCAAGTATTAAGGAGCATAAATTGGAAGGTACAAAATAGACATGGGATGTTAAGAATAGTATAGGAAATGGAGAAGCCAAAGAACTTATATGCACGACCCAAGAATATGAACTAAAGGGGGGAATGCTGGAGGGAAGGGAGGTACCAGGTGGAGGATAAAGAGGGAAAAATTGGGACAACTGTAATAACATAATCAATAAAATATACCTTTAAAAAAAAGAAATGTTAATTGCATCTCTATTCAAAATAGCCAAAATCAAAACAATCCAGATATCCATCAATAGTAGAATGAATAAATAAATTATGGCATATTGCTACAGTGGACTATTATACACCAGTGCAGAAGCATGAAGTATAATACATTCATCAATATGTCAAACTTCAAAGACATAATGTTGAGTAAAACAGGTCAGGTACCAATGAGTATCTACTGCATGATATCAACTACATAAAGTTCGTAAACAGGCAAAAGGAATCTGTGGCAATAGGAGTCAGAGTAGTCGTTACCTGCAGGGCACTGACTGGGCAGGGGGCACAAAGGAGCTTTCTGGGGAGCTGAAAATGTTCTATGTCACGTTCTGGGAGGTGTTTGCACAGACATAAATGTTTGTAGAAGTTCACTGAGCTGTGTACTTAAGATGTCTACACTTACTGTATCTAAGTTACACCTCAAGAAAGATATCAAGTAAGATATTCCTTTATAAAAATCTCTCTCTCTCTCTCTCAGAGAATTAGCCATATCCAAATGGCGGTGTGAGGTGAGTGGGGAAGGTGGGAGAGGTTATCATGAGAGGAGGGATCTGCATGTGCACAGAAGCATGTGCATAGTACTGGGGAAATCTGATATAAATCAATTTGACTAGTGATGACTGTTGAGCACAGCAAAGGAGGAGGGGAAGTGGAAGAAAAATAAGTTGGGGAGGGTAGGCAGAGACCCAATTGGGAAGAGGGCATCGCAGGACGTTAACCACCAGTGTTCTTCATATGGTCCCTGAACTTGGCCAAAGCACCTAAGAGGGCCAAGCCAAGGCCTTGCCCTTTCTATCTCAGGAAGGAAAGAAGGCTTGCCTTCTGTCTGCTAAAAACCAGTCGGAAGGAGGAGAACGGCAATGAGCAGTAAATGTGATGTTTACTTATTGGGTCTTATTAGGGTGATGAAAATGTTCTAAATCTGATTTGCAATGATGGCCGCACAACTTGATCAATTTGCTAAAAAATCATGGAATTGTACACTTGAAATGAGTGAATTTTATGATATGTGAAATATCACCCAATAAAATTATTTAGAAGTCAGAGGTTAATCCTTCCCTCTTCTTCTTCTTTTTTTTTTTTTAAAGATTTTATTTATTTATTTTTAGAGAGAGGAGAAGGAAGGGAGAAAGGGAGAGAAACATTGATGTGGGAGAGAAACATTGATGTGAGAGAGAAACATCCGTTTGTTGTCTCTTGCAGGTGCGCCAACTGACCTGAGACCGAACCCACAGCCCAGGCCGGTGTGCCCTGACAGGGAATCAAACCGGACCCACTGCGCCACACTGGGTAAGGCCCCTTCCCCAGAAGGGCTCTGGGATCTCCCTCCACCCCACCTGGCTCTCACTTTCCTTTAGCCCCACTGCCACCTGTGCTTCAGCTGGTGAGCACATTCACATCCATCCCCTCAGAGACACCGCTGAACTGTTCTCTAAGAAGCCAGGACCAGAGGCGCTGCCCTGCTGAGGAGACAGAGGCCCTGAGAGGGGATGGGAGGGGGTAGCTCTTGGTTTCGGGGTACCTGCTGACTGTGCTGTCACATAACCAGAAGGAGGAGTGTTCATTTCCATGTCTCAGGTGAGATTATTGAGGACCTGTGAAGGGGAATGCTCAAGGTGTCACAGTCAGGACAGAGCCTCTGCAGCCTCTATCGTCCAGAACAAGGAGTCAAGTCACTGGAAATGGGGGTGTCTACATGTGAGGACCAGTCTGGCAACCGCTGAGCTCAGGGGCAGAATGGGGGACCAGCTGGGGAGGTCAGGGCTGGTGGGTGGCAGCTCTCACTCACCACTTCTTGCCACTGATGTCATGCTGCTGCACCGTGTAGCCAAAGAAGGCGGCCCTGGAGCCAGGGATGATCCGTGGCTTCCCGGTGTCCATGTTGAAGGTGTCCGTGAACCCTGGGGTAGGCGGAAGAAGAGAGGACAGCAGAGGAGTCAGGCAGGTGGAGGTCTTGGCCCCAGAGATATAGGAGGTCCCACTGTCAGGTCACCTACCTTGGAGAGTCTGGGAGAAAATGTTCTGCTATCCTTGGGGATCCCCTCTATGAAGTAGTTGACATAGTCCCTGCTTGAGGGAGCCCACAGCCTGATGGGAGAGGACCAGCCCCTTCCCTTAGTGGGAAAAATCCAATAGGGGAGGCATAAAATTTACTCTTAGGGAGACCCAGTCTGAGTGGGAAGACCAGTCCCTCCCTCAGAAAATTCTCATTCTCAATGGGAGAGAGAGCTCTCTTCCTCCATCACTCCTTTCTCCAACTCTGCTTCTTCCAGCTTCTGCTGATCTGCTCTTCCATATTTTTCCCCTCATTTTCCCCTCCTCTCTCTCCTTCTCCCTTCTCTCATCTTTGCCTGCTAGTGTCAGGGAACTGACTTCCCACCTCCCCATCAAGCCTGGTGTCTTAGTGGCCATGGCCCAGCCCTGCTGGCTGAGCCAGTCTGCAAGGCTCTGCCTGGCCTCAGCAGGGTCCTCTGTTGGCTGCGGCAGCTGAGGCAAAGCAAAGATGGGGGCCCACAACCCTTTCACCCTGGCCCCAAAGATCTTTCCTCTTTGGTGAAGTCACATGTCAATTTCCACCTGATGGAAAGTCTTGTTGTTGAGCCAAATGCTTTGCCCCTTTGGCATTCTTGTGCCAAGTTACAAGCAGTAACAACACACATCTGTATGGCAGTTTGGGTTTCCATCATCATTTACCGTCCCAGGACTTGGGAGAATGAGCAAACAACATCCCCATTTGGCAGAGGGGTTTAGCCCCAGTGAGGTTAAGAGTCTGGTCCAGGGCCACACTGCAGGTCAGTGACAGCATCAGGACCAGGCCCGCAGATGCCTGCTCTTTGACTCCCCTCCATTTTCAGGGCGTGTTTGGTCTTGCTATACATTGAAGTGATGTTTCCTCTGAGTTGTCAGTACTAACAGGACCACCAGACTAGGGACCCCTGCAGTTTACAGTGTGGAATCCTACCTCAAGCCAAAATCTTCAGATCAGTGAAAACCAAACAGCAGAATAGAATTTTATTATTGTCACCGCTTCCATGTGTAGGGCACTTTATAAGTTTCAAAGAGCATTCACATGTATGTTATCATTTCATGGCCATGACGACCCTGTGATGGGGTTAGCAAATAGAAAGCCAAGGGTCAGAGAGGTGAACTGACCTGCCCGTGGTCCCACAACCTGTTGGAGAGGAACTCTGAATCTGAGGCTTGGAACGGCAAGCCTCCCACTGTCCTCTCCTGGACGCTGGCCCCTGGGCTGAGCGTTCAGGGGTGATGTCCTGGGGCACTAACTTGATAAGGCCTATTGTACAAGTGGTTTTCTCTAAACTTTTTGTTGTTGTTGTTGTTGTTGTTGTTGTTGTTCAGCAAATAGATAGAGTAGCCAAAAGCTCCATCATTAGAGTTATGGAGTGATTTCCTAGAGGCAAAACTGAAATGCCTTCCCGTAGAGTTGTTTGATACATGTTATTTCACTCACCCTTGTCAACTGAGTATCCATGCTGCCTGGAGCACTGACTTAAGGAAAATTCTGAGGTCAAGTCTATGCTCAGTGGACAAGACTAGTGTGATCAGTGAGCAGTACCTGCTGCAGATACAGGAGAAGACAGTGGCAGCAAGTGGCTATGTAGCTACCAACCCTGTCTTCATGATTCCTAATCTGCCACATGAATTCAGTGTCACGGCCACTCAGGGGCGGTGGCGGAGGATGGGTAGGTTAGCCCCTTAGTGCCTTATTTACGAAGCCCAGACCGTGAACGTCTAGCAGCAGCCTGGTTAGCAGCAGGCAGCCTGGGGGAAAAAGACCCTGGTCAGGTGGGAAAAGGGGATGAAGGAGCACAAATCCTTGGCCAGTGAGGGGCATGTCACAGGGGAGAGAGACACCCGTGTCAACTGTGTAAAGTTGGGAGGTGAACAGAGAGGTACTCACTCTTCCACTCTGTCCTAGCAATGGACACACACACACACAGAGAAATCCACACACAGAGAAATACATACATATATGCACACACATGCACAGGCCACACGCAATCCCTGATTATGCGGCAACACTTTATCTGGCTCCCTGGCACCCCGTGGAGATATTCCCTGGTGGTCCTGGTCCTCCCCATCCTGCATCTGACCGCAGCAGAGGGAAGTGGCCCCGAACAAGAGGAAGGCTTGCCCCGGCAGTCAGGAAATCCAGATCCACCCACCACTCCCAGGCCTGCAGCGACGTAAGAACCAGTAAAGACAAGGCTGTAAATTGTGTCTTTGGGGCCTTCCTACCCTTTGTGCTTCTTGTACAAATATAGCCAGAAGGCTGCTTCCGATACTCCTCAGCCGCATACCCTCCATCCCATCAGTTTCCCACTCTACTCACTTTCAGAGCCAAACTCTGTACCTGCAAGGCCCCGCGTGAGCCCACCTTAGTCCCTCTACCCCTCAGGTCCTGTCCTGCCCCTCCATCCCTCTGATCCAGCCACCCTGCCCCCAGCTCTCCTTGCTCTTCCTAGGACGCGTCAGATCCGTTCTCTGACTGGTATCTTCACCCTGGCTGTTCCTTCTGCCTGGCAGGCCCTTCCCCCAGGTATCCGCATGTCCCGTTCCCTTGAGTCAGGCCACCCCATCACTCTTAAACCTTCATTCTTCCTCATAGTATTATCCCAGACATGTTACATATCTGTTTATTCTCATGTAGCTGATATTCTATAATATTCTCATGTTTTCTAAGGGCCCCGAGACACTGCTATCTCCTCACCATTGTATCCTTAGTGCCTCAAGTAAAGATCTCACTCATAGTTAATAGCCACAGTTATTGGCTGATTGAGTTGTTAGAGACCAGGACCCATGTTGGCTGGGATGCGTTCTCCTGTCCATGAGGAAGGGGTAAAAGAAAACAATATTTACGGAACACTGATATATCCTAGGCACTGTTCTGGGTATTTAACCATTAATTTTATGTAGATTAGTTAAATCTCACGCCAACCCTGAAACATAGATGTTACCATACTCCTGGGAGGTTAAATAATTTGTCCCAAATCCCTCAGCTGAGAGGAGGTTAGAGCAGGTCCATGATCAAGTAGCTTATAGCATCAGGTGATATGTGACCCCTGGGCGATCAGCCTTCCATACAAAGTACCCACTGGGGGAAGGGAAAATTCTTTTTAGAGAAGGTCTCCCCCGCCACCTTCGGGTCCCCCCTCCTCTGCTTTGGGGTTAGGTTGAAAGAAGCTGATGGGAGAGAAGGCAGGGGCCCAGCGGTGGCACCTTCTCTCACCTAGGGCTCTCCCCTAGCGCTCCCACCCCCGCCCTCCTGGGGACAGGATTAGTGAAGCCAGGCCTTAAGGAAGAGGACAAAAGCCCTCAGGGCTGGGTCACTAAGTTACAAAGCTCTAGTTTCTTCCCCCATTTGGCATTTGCTTCTGACCAAACTGAACCAACCCGAGACTGGATTTCCTAAAAGTGATGTCAAGCCTGTTGCCCTGACCTCCACCCCGGCGAGATCTCTGGTCGCTCCTTGGATGGCGCACGGCTCTCGTGCTTGGGGAATGTACTCTGCTCAGAGATTTAAGGAGCCTAAACACCAACAAAATAAAACAAAGTTGTTTTTGACGGGAACCAACAGGCTGGTTGCAGAGACACTGGAGCCGGGCTGGGCAGCCTGCCACTCTTCTGCTCTTGATATTGATGACAGGGGGGAAAAAACCGCAATTCCTGGGCTGCTCTCCTGTGGACCGTGGCCAAAGTTACATCAGCAGCTGCTCCCCGTCTCAGAATCTTATCGTTGTTTAAAAAGCACCCATGAGTCCCAAGAAGGAACCGAAAGTACAGCATGGAGCTTGAGCATCACAGGGACCCACGGTTCTTAAATGCAGGCCAAGGTGGAGGCCGCCACCAGGTCACCAGGTGGGGTAGCCACAGTCCCAAAGGCTGAGGCACACTGGTCCACGCTGGTCTAGAGCTTCCGTCAACGCCACAGCTCCACAGGGAGTGCTCAGTGTAGCTTAAGCAGTATCTGCTGAGAGTCTACTGTGGCTCCCCACCCCACGCACACCCATCCACACCTCTGCCATATAACTAAATAACGTTTCAGGGATCTTGGGAGAAGGTCCAGTATCTTCACATGGCCTCAAAGCCCGCTGACACCTTCTCAGCCTCTTTCTCCCCATGGTCCAGGTACCAGGGTCCCCCTTTCTGCTCCCTAGAGGCACCTTGCTTCCTCCCACCTTGGGGCCTTTGCATATGCGGCTTCCTCTGCCTGAATATCGCTGATGACCTTCTCATCACCTTGAAATCTCAACACAAGTGTCATAGCTTTCCCTGCCCCCCTAGGAAGGCTCCTTGACCCCTGATTATACCAGGTCTTGGCTAATGATCTCATCACCCCTCATACCTCACTAACAGGTGACAGGGGACTCCACCTTTTCTTATCAGTTAGTAATTATACACCACAGGTGCGATCATTTGATTGTTCCCGCCTCCCCATCAGGAGGGTGGCTGCAGGAGGGCACGGTGGGGTCTCTTTGCTCATCTCTGGGCCCAGCCCTGAGCCAGCGGCTGGCCCCAGACACGACTGGGGGCAGAGCAGCACAAGATGAGCGTAGAGACTCTGCCAGCTTGGGACAACGGCCCATGGAAACCCGGAGAGGAAGTGCAACTCTGTAACCAGAGCACTATGATAGAGAAGAGAGGGACAGCTGGGGCTGGGGTGTTAGGAAGCTTCTGGAGGTGTGCTCCAGCCTCAGGAGCAATGCATAGGAATTGGAGAGGTGGCCCACAGGTGGTGTGAATGTGGGCCCAGGGAAAGGAGGGAAAAATAGCTGCCAGGCGGTGGTGTCAGGAATTGCCCAGCTCCTCCCCCTCCTCTTGCCAGGCTCCTTGAGGGTGAGGTACCCGGCACTGTTCCAGATTTATTTAATCCTCACAA